GAGTCTTCTTGCTGTCTTTGTTACTGTCACATCTTAATGCTTGTAGTAACTAAACAATGGAAAAGAGAACCAATAAAACATAAGATCAAATTTCAGACTCTTCCATGACTATGTTAAATTAGGAGCTGTCTGTAATACATTAATGTATCTTGTATAAATGTTTCTTATATATAAATATAACGTATCTTACATAAATGATATTCCTTCGTGCTCAAACATGCATCTAGGTACTCAGGCCCTAATTTTTCCCACCCAGTATATCCATTGAAGTGGGACAACTAAATCAAAAGCTAATGTGTTAGTGGGCTTCTAATGGAGTAGCTCCTGAGAGCAGCTCCTGAGGACCACTTCAAGTGCAGTACGGGTTAGCTGGTTTTGAGATAAATAGCCCTTGGGCAGATTCTGTTGGAGATGGCAGTTCCTATATCCCACCTCATTATCAACCCATGCACATAAGCCTTGGTTTGAATCTGGGTCACATTTCCTCTTTAGGCAGAGGTGCAGTGCCTTTTTATCAAAGCACAAACAAGCTCTGTCATATTGCTTCCTTTCATTGAGAGATATAAGGCTGTGGTTTTTTTTGCAGTGGCTCAGGCTTTTTTTTTGAGTGTTCTGCATTCAGAGGAAGAGCTCAAAATCCAGGTTACACTGAGAATTGTAATTTTTAAGTATTACAGCCCAGGTAAGCAAACAACAAAGCACAGGCCAGTGCAATGAAACTGAGCTTTCAGATGTTTCAGAAGAATCTATTCAACAGTATTGGTAGGCCAGATGATTTTGTAAGGTTCAAGGAGCCAAGATCTGTGGTTTGGCAGAGATGACTTGCGAGGTGATAGAATGAGGAGATGCTTCCCAAGCCACGGCAGGTTACCCTCCCACAGCAGGGTACCCTGCATGCAGAGTCTGTTCTCATGGGGAAAGCTGAACCAGGTGCTCCTTCTGACTCCTATGCTAGCATCCCTTTCATTTTGAGGCTGGACACCCAGGCTATGTGAAATCTGGTATGAATTTGTGTCAGCTGCTCCGCTAAGATCAACCGCCTCTCTTCTGTTCTCCTATGAGCAGCATTTCTGATTTCCAGTTTTATAACTTTTTGGATTTCTATTTTCTTCTCTTCATTTTTCCTGTTGGCTACATTTTGTGATCCTCAGCTGGTGTGCTGGCATTTTCAGATTTCTTTCCAGGGATCTAACTATGATAGAGCATCCTATAAAGAATCAGGCTGCTTAAACTTCAGACTGTTGGTTCCTCTCAGTAGCCATATCCTTAAGATTTAGGCATGCTAAAACTGAGCATTATGGTGACCAAATAAATTTATTGATTTCTGTAGGAGTTAGAAACCTAAACAGGCCTGAAAATCTGCACCTGGGCTCTCAGCAGCTGCATGGTTAAAACTGTCTCACATGATATGTAGAACATAATGCAGCATTTCATAACAAAACTGTTAGTGCAAATAAATATTCTAGCTGTAGGTGGTTTCCCTGCAGAAAATTAAAGTTCAATTTATGTTGTTATACCTGCTAAATGGTGGTGATAAAATTAAGTAATCTCTGTACATCCATGAGAATGGATGTTTTTAAGTATAACAAACATACATTCTCTTATTATAGTGCAATTTGTGATTCTTCTTTTCATGTTTTGTGAGTCTAAATATTTTATAGTAATGTCATGTGAAAATAATAAAATATGAAACTAAAAATCGGAGGACATGATAAGCATAAAAATATTTTACTCATTGCTTTTGATGGTCCTACCAAAGCCATATGAAGTCAATGGTAAGCTTCCCTTGGTTTCAATAGGCCTTGAGTCAAGCTGGGGTGCCTCCTGGGAAATTACACCACAAGGGTCTTGAGACCTTGATAGGGTGCCTCTTCCATGCTAGAACATTCCTAAAATGGATCAGAAGGCATTCATTACAAGCAAAAACAAGTTTTGAAGCAGTTTGTTTAGCTTTTGTGTTTACCTAAACACAAAAGATGACTAAAAAGCATCTAAAAGACCTTATTATCTAAGTTGTTAAAGGTTTTGATAAGCTATTAAGCATTCAGATAGCCAATAAATATAAGCATTCAGATAGCCAATAAATAGTCTATGTGATTTGATGTTTAAGAATATTTATTGGTGTAAGGTATGAGAATAACCTTAAATGTTCTTTCACCTAGCCAAAAGATTAACAAAGTCAGCTAAAAATCTGCATGTATCTTGCTAATAATTGAAACCATGTACAATTTTCAGTACATCTAGTCTTTTAGCAGAGGCAACCAAGGTTATTGAAATGTAGCTGTAGCGCTGAATGAGAGCAGGACATAAGAAAAACTGCTCTGACATTACTACCTGCTGGTCACCCTCCTAGGCTCTTCTGTAAGTCACTTTGAAATGGAAAATCTTATACTAATTCTGAATTTCAGGTTATATGGAACTTTGATTTGCAGCAATTTTGTGGTATTGACATGTTGTACCACATTTCCTGCTGGCTTTATGTTGACAAAGGTATCTTCTCTTTTTGCTTCCACCCTAGCAAACAACAGATGTTTGAAGCTGGCACCTACTTGCAGTCATACCGTGAAGTGTCTGTGCAATTCATGGCCTTGTTTCTTCATCTAGACCTAATCAGGCAAAACCCATCTGCATGTGTAGCCAGTTAGGAGGTACAGATACAAGTGGCAGCAAGGTTAAGTCAGTGTTTCAATTGAAATCAGAAATTCTGACCTGGTGCAGGCAGCCCTTGTCCCAGTCACCTTAACTTATTCAGCACTAAACTATTATCCTCCCATTAGCCTCGAGGCAGCTGAAAGGTAATGCTGCACCATTGTGCTCATTACTGCTACTTGATCTTACAGACAAGGATTTTTCTTTATCACTCATCTAGTTCCAGATGTCTGGATGTTGTTCTGAATCCCAGACTGGGTCTTTGCTGCAAATCAGTTTGACAGCCAACTGCAAAACAGATTTGCCCTGGAATAATTTGGGTAAAATGATGGTTAAACTCAGCAATAACATTGTTAAACACTGTACAGATTGAATTGCACATTCATTTTAATTGTATGCTGTATTGAAATGGATGTACTTAGGTCTCCTAAGTACGCTTAATGAGTCAGATTAATAGGAGTTTGTTTGTATTACTCTCATTTTCATGTAGGGGATTTAAGAGTAACTACCTACCTGAGTTCTAGTACTTTCAGTTATGACATTATTTTATGTTTATAATGAATAATTTAATCACCACTGTCATTGTATTGAGAATAGTGGAACAAATTACAGATCTCTTGTATCCATCTGCATATACTTTCACCTTGTGGTCGACTGGTAGAAGTCTGGGGTATGTAATGTTCTGAAAATTACATAATTACATGTAAATCATTATTTATCAAACCCTAACCTGATGAATCAACATAGAATTTTCTATTGGGCTCCCACTTAATTCAGGATTTTCTGAACAAGCCTGTCTTAAATAAAAAAAAAAATACATATTACAAAATACAATACCTCTGAATATATTCAGAGGTATTGTGGCTTTCCTCTGCTATGTGAACTTAGCCAGTGGGGTTGCTTATTCAGATGACTCTTCATGGACTGGTATACTATGAACTCCCTACAATGAATGAAGTCTCAGCTCCATGTGAATTGCTCAGTATTTAGAAATGAGATATTAAGTGTTGTTACAGACTTCTGTTCTTCTGATTCTTGGGGAATTTCTGTATGTGTTTTGCCTACAAACATGTTTTGAGAGAGTGGGAAAGGAGAAATACAGCATGAGCTAGAACAGCTTATAATCACCTATTAATATATGTGTCAGAAGATTTGGATTCAAGTTCTTTCCTTGTTTTGACAGAAGTGTCAAATCATCATCCTATGCAAAAAAGATGTTTCAGATGCTTATTCAAACAAGATTTGTAGTTCAGCCCATGCCTCTCTCTAAAGGAAAGATAAGCCTCCCAAACAGAAACTGACTATTCCGCTATTTGAAGGGTAGTAAAACTGTGTCTTCATGATGGCAATGAATCTATTTTCTGCTAGTATTCTGGGTCATTTTAGAAAGCTCTTCCTGAAATCTGTGTTTCTGTAAGGATTCTCTCTCAGCAGACAAGGAAGATGATGTTGAACTCTTCTGGGACTGGCTGCAGTTACATCTTAGATGTGTCTGTGAAAAAGTGGCTCTCTCTTTAACTTTCACTGGATGTGGCTGTCGAAGACTTGAGCATTGATTCTCTGGAGAATTTGTTTAGATCTGGAGCAGCTCTGCAGCTTCCTGCTGTATGTGGACTTTGCTCTTCAGCATAGAACAACCTGGCCTTTTTCCAAATCTTCAGGCACAGGTCATTGAAATGATCACAGTACAAAAGGTGAAGTCTTTCCTAGTCATCACTGATTCTGCAAGAGCCATCTGTGTTAAGCAGATTGAACACTGGCTTGTTTCTCTGAGAAAGTGGGAGGAGGGATTGCAGATGAGCATTTAGGGAAAAGTCTGTAGTTTAAAAGCTGGATTTTTGAAATGAAAACTACTACATGCCTCTGTTTCCAGGAAAATCACTATTAGAAATCAACACAGACTTAACTGGCATTCAGTTACGGCAACATGAATACAAATGATTTACTTGTAACTCCTTGGAGGGAAGAAGTGGATGTTTCTATAGGTGGTAAAATCCTTTTCTTCACTTTCAATATACTGGTTTTATTTTAATAATAGAAATTTTCTCACCCTTTTTAATATTCTGCATTGTGATATATTACAAATATAAAAAAATGATCTAATTCTATTAAAGTTAGAAAAGTCTTTGGTTGTATTTTAAATGAATACAGGATTAAAGAATATGTGCAATTTACAGTGTGGTCTTGCCTTTATCTAAGTGATTATTAGAGTTTCTGATTGGTAAAATGAAATATCACCACTCCGTAACACATGTATCATGGTCTTATCTTGATAGAATATAGAATTCTGTAGCAGTGACTTGCTTACACAGCAGTGTGAAGAGGATGGAGAAAATGGAGTATGGCTGTACTTATCTCCAGAAATAAGATGTGTACACTGAAGAGCAGCAGCCCCAAACCCATCCTGCTTCATTAGGCAGCTGAAGGAAACATAGGAAACATTACAGTGACATTATCAGGTTCACAAAAGTTTTCTAAAATACATAGCTGCTAAAAGTAGACCAATACATCCGACTTGCCTAAAGTTATGAAACAAGTCCAGGCAATGTTTGTTTGTCTCCTAAGACAAAGTCATTGTTACCAAAGAAAAGACAGATTCTGGAGCTTGACTTGCCTTCCTTTGCCATGCTAATTCTCCCAAGGCCATTCAGGTCCTGGGCCTTTAGTTTCATTAGCACATTTGTCTGGGACACCAGCTTGCTGAATGTTTGGGAAGCAGAACTGGAAAGAAAAAGGAAAAAAAAACGCAATGACTGTGCTGTGCACATAGGTCATATCCACACCGGCTGGGGAACTGGGCTTCACAAGGGATGCAGTCCAGTCCCACTGAGAGCTAGGAAAATCCTTCCAGTCACTTTGACACGCAAACTTCCATCCAAGAGAAGTGCAGGACTCTTAAAACTCAATTTTGATTCATGCGATAACTAACACACATCTGTAAAGGAAAACAAAGGCTTAAAATGTAAAATTTACTTCCACAGTTTGACTCTTATTCCTAAAACTTATGATGTTGATCAGGTCCGTGTGGGGTTTTGTGGTTAGTTTTGGTTGGTTATTTTTAATTTTCAGAATGCTTGCTCTAGGACTTGGATTGGTCCATAAGGAATCTGGTCCATAAGGAATACTTAAAAGTCAAAGAGCATTACAGCAAATGTGCTACCTTTCTGAATTTTAGCCAGCTGTTTGATATATAACATTGGCAGTTTAAGGCTCCTGCTGAATTTTTAAGCCATTTGGAAAATATATCAGAGACTCCAGTAGGACTTCCCTGATTTACACCAGCTGGGAATTTCACCCTGAGTCTTTTAGAACAGGGTAATAGCCAATCAATAAGAAAACATTTCAGTCGGTATGTGAAAAGTAGCACTCCTCTGCCAGTTCATTCCCTGGCTTTCCTGGTGGAATGTTTGCGAAGAAAATTGCCTCAACATTTTTAGTGGCTGCCGAGGTAGCAGTTACAGGTTCTGCTTAAAGCAGCTGCTATGGCTTCACGTGTTTTTGGGGACAAAGAGGAAGGAGCCTGGATGTATGTATAAGGGGGAGAAATGGGAATACAGACATATGGGACTTGTATGCTGGGATCATTTCTCTCAGCAGATGAGTAGGGAAAGGCAAATGACTGACTGTCAACATGGAGCCAAAGGAAGGAGCCTGATTGACTGTGTCAAATTGATATCCCACACGTCATCCTGGGAACCACCATTAGTCAAAACAGGTCTTACAACAACAGTGTGCCTAAAAGTAGGACCGGGTCTCTGATTCTAACCAGATCTCTAAATATGCATAGGAAGAAGGGCGGTACAGAAAAGGATGATCTGCATATGTTGTTGAGGTATTGATGCTCACTCAGTGTGTTGACCAAGTATATAACAAATAGATAGCAAAAGTCAAACACCCAACCTGAACAAGTGCTCAGCATGAGTCTGGACAATGTCTGCCCCCACTGAGGGTCCACAGCATTATTGGAGGTGTTGACAATAATCTTCTGAGTAACAGCTTCAAGGGCTTTTATAACATTTGCTGTAAGCGGTAATAACATTCGCCCATTTGCTTCTGCTGCCTGTAGTCCTAACATTTTGTCTTGCTGATTGATGGATTAGGTGCATGATTACATGGTATTTTTGGGGGTAAAACAGAATGTTCAAGGCCAAAGAGAAGACCTAAACTAATCTTAGGCCTAGTTTTCTACTTTTCCAGTGTCTGCATTTATGAGGCGGCTGGTAAACTGCTCCTATCAGACAGCCCAAAACTGATATAGTAACAGTGTCATGGTTTAAGCCCAGCCGGTAACTCAGAACCATGCAGCCACTTGCTCACTCCCCCCCACTTCCCCCCCGCTCCTGGAGGGATGGGGAGAATCGAAAGAATGCAACTCCCATGGGTTGAGATAAGAGCAGTCCAGTAACTAAGGTAGAACACAAACCACTGCTGCTACCACCAATAATAATAATGATAAGGGAAATAACAAGGGGAGAGAATGCAACTGCTCACCACCTGCTGACCAATACCCAGCCGACTAAACAGTGATCTAGCCCTTCTGGGTAACTGCCCCCAGTTTATATAGTGGGCATGACGTGCTGTGGTATGGAATACCTCTTTGGCTACTTTGGGTCAGGTGTCCTGTCTCTGCTTTCTCCTGGTTTCTTGTATCCCTCCTCCCTGATAGAGCCTGAGACTCATAAAGTCCTTGGTCAGAGTAAACATTACTGAGCAGCAACTAAAAACATCGGTGTTATCAGCACTGTTCCCAGGCTGAAAGTCAAAAACACAGCACAGCACCGGCTACTAAGAAAGAGAAAAATGACTGCTACTGCTGAACCCAGGACATACAGTAATGTTGTTCACCTGTTCTTGCTAATATTTTTTTTAGTCATATGAAGAATGGATGGAAAAGGCCATTTAAAAGATGGGACATTGGCATCTCCCCATCTTGGATTCCTACCTCTCAGCAGCTTGGCTTGTGCAGCAGGTCTGCTGTTCTTGGCTGGGTCTGGAGCAGCAGGCACACAAATGGCCCAGGTGGAATTAGCTATTTTTAAGCTTATTTCTGTATCAGCAGAAATTGGAAGCTGATATATAACTCCAAAAGAGCATCAAATCTCTGTCAAATCCACTCCCACACTAAGCTCACATCCCATTTCCCTGAAATTAAAGCTTTACTCAGAGAAATCAGCTCCAGGTGGATGAATTTCCTAGAATGTGCATTCATTAGTTACTACTGGCATAGCACAGTGAAGGTGGAGAGCATTACACAATCAACTGATAATGTCACTAATATGTGCTATTATTAAGGCTATTAAAATAGAATTGGCATTGTAGAAAATATGGTGTCATTAAATACGTATTAGGGCTTTATAATGAACTATCAGCATGACTGGTTCCATGCAGTCTTGGCAGGCAATTTAGAGGAACATGTTCACTTCCCAGCTTTGTAATGCCAGCACTGTACTCTGTGGTGGGATTTGAAGGCAGAGAGCAAGGGCATCGTGTGAAGCCAGGCCTCGGGCATAGTGCTGCAAGCAGGCTGTGCTCTCTCGGACTGCCTGCACCCTCGGCTGCTCGGCTGCTTGCGCTGTGGTCTATCTGCACCCTGGGCTGCAGCACTGCCACCCTCCACATGCCAGTGAGCTCTGGGACAGGGAAAGGAATGGCCATGACATGCACCTGAGCTGTGTCCAGATGGAGTGTCTGAACAGTGCAAAGCTCTGGAGAAAAGAGGAAGGTAAGGGTGAGATGTGACCCAGTCTGCTCTGCAGTGGGTTGAAGCACTGACAGGTGAGTGGCTGGGCTACTTGGTGGCTGCCATTAGATAACTCCTTGGCTGGTTTATTGGCAGCTAGCTTTGCTAGTTCCCACACAATTACCATTGCTTTTCCATACTTGGAGGATTTCCTCCAGTGCTGGCTGGCAGAATATGGAGTACAGAAGAAATAATAGTTTTCATTTCTGAAGGAGAGCATTTGGCTGGGGTTAGTTTGCAAATGGGCTTCTCCAAGCATGCTCACTTTTTCTGGCTGGAAATTTTGTCTGGCATTTCCATTCATGTTCATGGCTACAGATGGGATCAGATAAATGATATTTGAACACTGGATATGACCATTTCAAGAAATGGCATGTCTATTTTGTACATGCTACAGATTCAGTGTACTTCAGACACAGCAGATGTTCCCTGCAGATCAGCCATAACACTTCTGCCACAGAAAGCCAGCACTTCCCAGAAGGTGCTGGACCACTGCTCAAGCCACACTAGGTTTAATCTATGTGGTATGACTGAAAACTCATAAAACTTAATATATAAAACTCATAGAGCTTAATGCCTGTTGTTTTTAATAGTTAGTGGCTTTTAAGTCTCTCACATAATGATTCAAATAAATACCTGTTCTTTTATAGCCTGTCCAGCCTGTGAATCTTGAAATGCTATACAAAGGCCATAAACAACAATTTTACAATAGTCAAATTGTAGTCCAAAAAGACAGTCTTGCATCTGGCTGATGGCTGAGCCAAGAACGGGACAAGAGCCTCTGGACCCCAGATGAGGGTGCTACCCCCAAAGACAAAGGATGAACAGTATCCCACCTTACCACAAAGTATTGCAACTGTACATAGAATCATAGAATAGTTAGGGTTGGAAAGCACCTTAAGATCATCTAGTTCCAACCCCCCTGCCACGGGCAGGGACACCTCACACTAAACCACGTCACCCAAGGCTCTGTCCAACCCGGCCTTGAACACTGCCTGCAAAGGAAGACATTCCCAAGCACAGCACAGGGAGGGCCCAATGGCAAATGGTCCTTTCTTTGCCTCAGAAATCTATAACATTTCCTCTGGGGTCTTTCTCATGCTTTTTTCAGTGCTTGAGGTTAAAAGCACCGGCACAGTTCTTGTCAAGTCAGTGTAGTTATGGCAGCGTATGTCTGTTGAACTCCTGATGTGATCTGTTCTCAGCAATGCAGCTAAACATGAAGAATGATACCAGACCTATGGTCTATCTTTACTGGGACCTATGGCCTATATCTTCCATTCATTCAAATAAATGAGCAAAACAAAAATCACAGTCAGAATTGCATAAAAAGAACTAACACCGTGTACTGCAATCAGCAGGGTTTGTCAGAGTTTGCCAAGTGAAGCTCTGAGCAGTTTAACTGGCTTAACTGGTTTAGTTAAACTACTTCATATCCTTTCTTGGATGCTTTTAAACTGGTAACGGTAGCTTTAATTCACCGGTGCTGCTGCTGTACAGCCCACGCTGCAGTGGTGGAAACAAAGCCTCCCTTGGTACTCGCATTCAGGCGTATGGTACCACTGGGAGAAAAGCTGTGAACCTCCCATGTGCCTCCCGTGTGTGGTTAGTGTTTATTTAGTTCACAGTATTAAACCTGAGGTATAGATACATGAGCACTGTGAGAACTGTCTTGTCTACTTGATGAAAATGTTATTGCATATACAGAACTCAACATAAAGGAACCACATTCTGTGAAAAGGTATTTCATTATGTTGCCACCAAACCTATGAAATAGAACCTTCTTTAACTTTATTCACATGGTTTGCCTACTTCTTGAACACAATGCAGTACTTGAATTAAAATCTTTAGATTTTTATGCTCTGTATTTTTTAGGGCTAGGTTAATGAATAATACCCACAATTTTACTGAGTTATCTGAGTGACCTGATCTCTCTGCCCAGATCAATCAAATTCTCTCAAGCAAGCTTCAAGGCAAGTGTTAATGGGGAAAAATGTAAAATTTGTCTTTTAGAAATTTTCTCTCAAATAAAATGTGCTGTTTCCTCAAGAGGTTCTTTCAAGAAAACTTGCTCATTAAAATATTAATTGGAAACAGGCAGAAAAGGGTCACGAACAAAGTCATGTATCTGTTGAAATCTGCCTAGAGGAATGTGATTATCTAGTTTCTCAAATAGACTGTAACACTGATTGTAGCACTGATTTCATTGCATTGAAAAACATGGCAAGATAACCTTCCTAATCTTCTCTTTGCTCAGCAGAAGGTTTGGTGGTGTAGAAATGAACAACTAAAGTGAGAGTTACGACTTTTTTGTATTATTTCCTGGGAAAAGACCACTTCTAAAGTAAGGAAAACCTTTCTGGTAATTGAAAATAGAAGAGCGACATCACCTTTACTTATTCCAGACTTCACTATTGAGTGTATATTTTTACACAACACAATCCAAATCTTTTTCCAGGATGACTCAAGAGATAGGAAAAAAAAAAGATGTTTTCCTGCTGTTTGCCTTGGTAACTGTGCATCCCATTGCTGGCTTCCAGGGCTCCATGTTCTGAATGGTTCCAAGTCCCTTCCTGTGCTGTGAGCAGGAGCCTGGGCAGCTGGTGAAGCAGCACAGCAACAGGAACAACAAACCAAACTCCTCCATATGATTAGCCTGGCCATGCAAGGAGAGGGAATCAGAAATGCAGCCCATTTATACTAGCAGATGTTACACTGCTTCACTCCTGCTCATGAGGAGCAGGATTTGTACAGCTCCTTGACAGCTACTTCTACTGGATGGGGTTTCAGAGTAATCAGAAGAGACCGTTCCTGGGTCTGCAGCAGCATACTGGTGTATGGGCAGAGCCTTTGTAGATGTGCTAGAGCTGCCCAAGCTGTAGCATTGCTTGCCGGTGAGCTGTGTCTAGTTTGACTAGGGAGGCCTGGTGCACTAGTTCAAGAGTCCAGTGAAAAGTACAAACACACTCACTGCAAGCCTCTGTCCATTGCGCTTCTGACTCATGATGATGTCTCAGAAGCGTGTAGATTTTCCAGTGGTGGGTTTCATTCTATTTACATCTCTGATCAGGAACTACAGTTTTTACATAGCACAGGGTGCTTCCGTCTGCGTACCGAGAGCCTTCACCCCTCCTGATTTCAAACACTGGAGGAGGTTGGGATCGCTTTGTTTGCTGTGCCAAGGAGTACATGCTGTAACAAGTGAATGTGGGCATAAGTGGTGTGCCACAAACTTCACTCTGTGCCACTTAGGGAAGGACTGGAAGAACTGGATTTCTGCCAGCCAGTATAAAGGTAGGGTAGGCTGGGAACAGGCAGTTCTGGTAGCTCTCTCCTGCAGAGCCTTGTAAGCAGCAGATCTCATCAGAACCAGGTAAAAAACCTCTGCATGAATTTGTTTATTTTGGTTTAAGCTTGCTACTGTTTGACCTGGGTCATTCCTGAGCAAAGGGCGGGATTCAGGTATATCCCACCTGACCTCCAGCTGCAGTCCCAAAGGGATATAGGACTCCTGTGCATCCTGTGTCATACCTGCCAAGCCCATGGAGATACCTGGAATAGAACAGGGTAGTTATAATGTACTGTATATAGACAGCTAAATCTCACCAAGTGTTTTTACAACTCTTTGCACTGAGGCTTTGAGGCTTTTGAGTCTGCATAAATTTGCTTTTAGAAAAGAAACGGCTGTGTCCTAGTGCAGGGGGACACTCACAAAGATTGTTTTCTGTGCTTCCTGATAGATGTGGACTGGTAGCAACCATGGTGAACCACGATGCTTACACCTAACATGCAGATGTTACCAGCCCTCTAAAAGACTTCTGCTCAGGTATTACCCAGCCCTCCAGACTGTTACACTCCTTTAGCATGTCAGGCTTTCCCAGTAATGTCTCTGCTTCACCCAACCCCTCTTGCCAGCTGGCTATGTAGAGACCTATTTCACATCTACAGTTTGGTGGGATTCTTTGGAAGTCTCATCTATGTGACCAGCTGAGAGTGACTTGCCAAGCATCTGTAAAGCATATCTCCTGGATATCTAAGGGAGATACTGATGAACAACAACTCTACTGCATTTTAGTCAACAGCCTGGTATTGTAGGAAATGGATTTGAAAGACTTGTTTGCTGCCTTTGTTTGGGAGCAGAGGCTTAAGCCCAGGCCTCCTGCACTTCTGACTAAGATTGGTGAATCCTGAGGTAATGCAAAAAATAAGATCTACTTTTGGTGAAACATTAGAGTGGAAAAAACAGTGAGCTTTTGTTCCTTGCAGATACAATATGACTGTTTTCTCAGAGCAGTAAGCTAAAGATGAGGGTTCTGGGGCTGAGTACTAGCTGCTCCAGGAGGGATGGGCAGCCATGGGTGACCCCAGCATGGGCCTTGCCCTCATCAAAAGGCACAGCCCCTATAGCCAGGTGCTGGTAATGGGCCCACTGACAGAGCCAGAGGAGGCAAGTGATGACCCAGGTGCAAGGGCTGTCCAGCCCAGTCAAGAGCAGCAGGAGATGGAGCCAGAGATGAGACAACAGTGTGGGCCCAAGGCATTCACCCAGGAAATAGGGCCAGAGATGGGGCTGGAGACAGGCACCCCTCCTGCATTGCTGCGGCAAGGACCAACAGCCCCAGGCTAAGCTGAAATGGGGCTCCAGGGCCATGGGCTGAGCTGGAGGGAGGCCCCAGGGAAGGCTGGGCAGGGACAGAAAGACCATCAGTGCCTTTGGGGGCTGCGGCAGAGAAGTGTTTGAACCCCTTGAACAGTCACCAAGACAGCAAAGATAAGGACTCCATGCATGATATTAAGCATATCTATGACACACAGTCTTTGGACTCTGTGACATAAGTACTTCTTGTAACATCTTGGTGCAGCAGGTAGAAGGCTCAGGTTCCCTAAACTCCCAGCAATGTGCCCTAGCTGGGTGTTTATCTTGAGAAAGGCAGGGCAAAAGAGTTTCTTGAAGTGAACAAGTAATACATTTAAAAACAAATCCCTGTAAAGTGAGGGCACTGCAGGCTGTGGATGAAGTGCTGGATTAAGACCTCTTGGAAATGCTCTGGCTTTTGTCTTTACCATCCTTTATGGCCATATGAAAGTCTATGATTGTTTTTCACCTTCAAAAGGTTTCTTAATTCATCATCTTCATGTGATGTGCTGTGGAAATACTAGCACCAATTGCTCCTAATACAACTTCTTTTTGTGACTGGAATGTACATATTTATTAAAGCATTGTCTGCCTCATTCAACCTTAGGATTGAATAGAAACAGGTCAGGAATATACAGTAATAGAAATATAAGGAAAATGAAAACAGATCTGAGGGAATCTTTTTTAGCAGCAAGCTAAATTAAGCAAAAGATTAGCTCTACCACTCAGATTCTCTGCTGACAAGCTTGGAAAATCCTCCACATCACTTAGCATCTAAAATGCACAGTCCACCCCCTTTTTAGCACATTTTAGCACAAAGCTTCTAACTAGCCAGAAAAAAAAAGAAGCAAGAGCTTTATGCACAGGAATAGCAAGTAACTTAAAATTCACATGGCTTCCTTTGGGAAAAATATAGTTGAATTCTGTGGGAAGTATCTACTAAAAGCTGTTCTTGGAAGATACTGAGCATCATTTTATAAATATATTGCTCAATCTGTCAAATTTATTTACATGTACACAGACAGGCTTGCTATAAACATTACAGCACTGGTTACTGCTCTGAACAGTGTCAGTGTTGATAACAAGACTGTGTTTGAATTTTATTGTACACAGTAATTCCCACTGGTCTGGCATTGTATATGGGAAAATATGCACTTAACAGACATAAATTTGGGATTCAGTATCAAAAATAACTCTCAGAATCGACACGTGCTCAAGATGTTGCCTTCCTGCTAAATTAATGGCAACAGTAAAGGTAGTGGTATTTCAGAAAGTCACATTCTTCTGTTAAAGAGACATGGGGAAGGAACGTTGTGCTGGCAGTTCGACAAACTATTGGTACAAAATGATGGAGCCTGTTAATCTTTGCCAGCTCATGCTAATGGCAATAAAGCATTTGCTGTCACTTAGAAGTGTTTATCAAGGTACTACAACCATCTTTTATGCAGTTGAGCTATAAATGAAATAAAACTGGGTTTTGGGCTGTTACTACACCACCTATTTTTGAGGTAAGAGAACATCTTGCAGCCTGAGCAGGGCTTGCTGTATCCCTGTTTATCTGCACACTGAGGGGCCACATGTTACGATAAATTTGTGTTTACCATTAGTTCAACTGGTAGGTAATATAAAGCAAGATTATAGACGTGAGAATGGAAAGGGTTTTTTTCATTAAATCATAATTTCATCTGTCAAGAGACACCTCCCTCCTTTTCATAAAGAGATGAGAAGCAAAAGGAGAAAAGCACAGCAGGTAGGGTAGAAATGCAGGGTTAGGAATTCAGTTGCTTTTCTCCAGGACTAATGCCCTGAAGGGTAAGGCTCTGGCCATGGCATAAACCCAGCTCACGGCATGGCACCCACCAGCTACAAAGATGCAAACCTTGTTCCTGCTGCGGGTTGAGGTGTGGGTGCCCTGGGCCAGGTTTGACCTTCAGAGACTGGGCAGCACCAGGACTTCTGAAAGAAACCCACAGGCAAACCCTGGGGGAAAGCAGGAAAATATTTGTAACAACTGTGAGAGATCTTTATTTTCAGCTGCATTTTCCAGCAGTCGTGTCCTCTTATTTCCAAGGGATCCGGATAATGCAACCCAGATGCTTCTCTGGCTATCACTTTAAAGACTCCAAAGATTTTTTTGAGTCAGGAAATGAAAAAATCCTTTTATACCAGTTTCGTTTCAACAAACGATTTTGCCTTCAGCTTTGTAACTTCCAACTAAATACAAAATGAAAATGAAAGCATCACTTCAAATGGCAAGCAAACTTCCAAATTTTTTTTTATATTGTTGCAACTTTCCCTTTTCACTGAGATTTTGTGTTGGAGAAAAAGTAAACAATTTCATACATCTCAGATATATGTTTAATTAAAAGTAGTGCCCTTTTTTAATGCAAACCAGTTTTTCTAGCAGCTCTACCTCCTGCATGTCAAATACTAAAGTCAAACTACTCTTTAAAACATTTGCTGGATGCATTCTGCAGAATGCTGGGTGTCATTTGTTCATTTCCACCTGGGCAAAGGGTGTTTAACATCTCAAAGCCTGAGACATTTAGAATGCAAATAAACAGGCGATGGAGATATTTTTTTCTAACATTTAGAGTGCAGACTACAATCTGTGTTTAAGAATGTATTTTACCAACTAGTTCCAACTGATTTAAATAGAGTTCAGGCTTTGAAATGCTTTAAATACTTAAGTGGCTCTGTGGGCCTAAACCTTACTCTCTCCAGTCTAATGGGTATTGATAATGGTGATTCAGGGATTACAACACTGAAAATGGTATGATAAATACCTTCCAAACTGTAGTAAGAATCACAGCTAGAGAAGAAGGTTGAGAAACAGTCACCTGCACCTTTCAGTGATCCTTGGCAAAAGCCTAAAGAAAACTAAGTTTGAACTCTTAGGAAAGAAAGGAGAGTTTTCTTTCGGCTGTCACAGTGCATGCTCCTTGCAATAATTTCAGGGTTTTTAAACTGGAAATAGAAACAGTAAGAAAATGGCACAAGATATCCTGCTCTGATCCTGAAATTACTGGAAATTGCATTAGAAGACCTTGCCTAGGAAAATTGCCTGGTTCAGGAAAATTCAATGAGTTGCTGTTACAGCTGGACAGCTTTTTTCAAGCTGAACAAAGCTGCTGAATATTCAGGTCCCTGAATTTCCTCTTATTTATGGAAATAATTTTTTAAATATTTATCCTTATGTGTGTAAAATCATATTCTATACATTACCCAACAACTGAGGCAATACAGAATGTCTAGAATGTGAAAAGGTCACAAAACCAGACACTGATTTTTCTGGCTTTGGCCAGAATTGAAGGTTCTTCTTTTTGAGGCTTGAATGCTGTTAGTTTTCTGCACTGCAAAGAGCAAACACATCAAAAAACTTACCCTCTCAGGGCCACAAGCCAGCTGTTCCCCTCTACCACATATAAACTGCAAAACTCAACGAAACACCACAATCCCCTGCTACTGTTGCATTTGCTACTGCTTCAGCAAAACTGCAAAACTACAAAACTATTCTTCCCCCTCAATTTTCTGCTTTACTTTTGCAGGAATTCTCTATATCCCGTATCAAAATGTTATATCCAGCCAAGTTCAATGCTAGACATTCACCCATCGGCAAACAGCTGCTTCTGAAATTCTCCTTGGCTGAAATGTACCCCTGTGAGGTGAGCAGGATAATAAGGTTTTCTTTCTTGTAACAAAACCTTCGTGTGAGTCTGTTCCACATTGTCCTGCAGGACTAAGATAGTTAAGAATACCAACAACAGCTCCAATAGCTAATGGGCTTGTAAGCTGATTTGCATAATGAAAAATCTATACTAATTTTAACTAAATTGGAAAAATGGTGTTTGAAAGAAACTGTATTCTTCTCTTTGGAAAATAGTAAAATATGTGGAAAATTCATATGATCACTTTATTGCCAAAAAGACTGAGTATCAGTCTAAAGTTGAGGGAAAAGATAATATTTATTTATTATAAAACACAGTGATCCAAAAGAAAAATGTAGGCCAAATCTTAGGAAAATTTTATATGGTCCAATAGTACTGTGAATTCTTTGTGCAGAAATATTTAAACTGTTATTTTCCATACAGACATGTCAGAGACGTGATTGTCAACTGTGCAGGGAATTCAGTGTACCTGCATCTGCAGGCTGGATTTTCTGAAGATGGAGGTAGCACAGAGTGAGCGCTGGAGACAGGACAATTAATCCCTTGCACCAGGACACATGCCAGCTACTCAGTACCTATATTTGAGGGATCTTACACACCAGTGCACCATCACTTCCCTCCATAAATATAAATCACACACCTTTCACCAGTGCACTAATAGTTGCTATTACTCTTGCAATTGTCCAGGAGGACAAGGATGGAATAATGACAAAAGTAGAGGAGGAGTGGAACCAGAAAGGAGGAGTTAAAGCAGGTTTGTAGTGATTCCCTTCAAAATATCTTACACTTTGGGCCGTGAAAAAGCAGCAAAGAGCAGGGATTTTGGCTGCAGCCCTTTTGTATGTGAACATGTGAGGAAGTGTGGGCTTAACCCCTCTGCCTGCCTGTTCCTCTGAAGGGATAGGAAGGAATGCAGCTACAAGTTAGGTCACACCGTATACCCTGGCTACCTCATCTAAGCATCTGGGTCATTAAAACAGGGCAGCCAAAAAGGAGAATAAGTGGCTCTTTGCCTACTGCCCACATTAGTTGTCTCTGAAATTGGTACTCATGGGTCCTGAGTAGCCTCCTCACTGTAATAAAGAAACTTCAAAGAGCATCCTGCCTCCCCACCCAGGAACAGCACTGACTGTGAATGACACCTGAATGTTTGTGGCTTTAGGCATTTTGCTGCCTGACACATCTCATCCTTTACTGACCTAGATTCACATTTTGCAGTTGCTTTAGGGCATTCACGGAAGGCTGACTCCACTTTGAAGACAGAAATGTTATAAATGTCAAACACCCCAATGATTATTTACATGCAAACATACATTGTATCAGTCATTTACATAATAGTGATCAAAATGATAAGGTCAGAATTAAGCAAGAGGTCAAAAGTCAGCATTTTGTGTCTGAAAATAATGTGCCACTGAAAAACGCGACCAACTCTAAGCTGAGCTCAGGTAGAACGACTGACAGACATCCTATATCCTTTCCTTGGATGTCAGACATGGAGCTTTCAAACCTACGATGAAGTTGTTACACACTGCCTTCATGTGGCTCCTGAAAAGATTTTCACTGCAAGTTTTCACCATAAAAAAGCATCGCTGCAGACCAGTTGTTCCTGTGGCCCATTTGCAAAGCTACCCTCTCCCTCAGCTCGTGGCAATTTGACAGCTCTATTCCACTAAATTCTTTACATTCTCAATCTTCAGGTAACTCAAGAGCCTGGTTCTTCTCATAGCAGTCAACCAAAAAAGTGCATTAATTTTGATGGCACAGGATCGGATCCTTGGGCAAAGCGTTTTATCAGCTTTTTTCTCAGGATTTTTTTAGAGCTGGTAATGAATGCAGTAAATAAATGCATTTGCTTGACCTCCTCAATCAATATACATTTATTCTATTTTCTTTGTTCCTTCCCATCAGCAGCCTATAATTGCTTAGCATTTGGTTGCCTTTTTTACTCTCCCATCCTATTTCTGATTTGCTATTTAATTCTCCCAAGTAAGGCCAAATTCTCTTCCTTTCCCCCCTTTATTAAGAAAACTCATGGTATAAGAAGGTGCTGACTCTTTTTAACCTCTATTTCCATTCTGCAGGGGGTTAGTTTTACCTTGCATGAACAAACTCAGAGTTATTCACAAATGAAAGCAAGAAAAGATCTACCTGTGCTTGATTTTCCCTCGGAGACAAGAAGAGCCACTGAATAAATAAATTGTATTTGCTGGGAACCAGAGTACATTTTCTGTATTAGTAGCAGTTCTCGGGAAATTATCTGTAGTAAATTGTTCAAGTTTCACAGGCCAGTGGGCATAGGGTAACTTAGTGGTAACAATCAGAGAAGGAAAAATCTTTCTCCCTCAAGGAAAGACAGATATTTGGAGAAAAATAATATAAAGGAGTTGTTCAGTGAAAGAGCTGTATAGAGGAACAGCAATGCTGAGAGGGAATAACAAGTCTCAAACTAGCAGCTTCATCTAACAGCAAAAGAATAGCAATTAAATTTTATGTAGTGGTGGGACATCATCGAGCAGTGTCCCTGCATTTGCAGGGACCCTACCTCAAAAATATGCTAAGTATTATACTTAGATTAAAAGAATATGACCAGGAATTGAAGAGACCACTATATATATTAAAAAAAGATAAAAACAACTGACTACATAGTGATTCCTGGTAAATGAGGACAAAATCATAGGCTATAATAAAAATTGCTGGGGATACAAGAAAAGAAAGGATTTCTTTTGCGTGTTGTCAAAGCTTATAAATAAAAATAGTGGATTAAACCTGCAGAAGGAAGGAAAGTTTGGTGAATATTAGGTTAAAATGAAAGTTGAAAGATTATCTTGTTCTATGGGAAGTATCCTAAAAGAGTACATGAAGCAGGGGATATACATACATTTTTAAATAACAGACCAAATGACCTATTAAACTTTATCTCACCTGGAAGATTCTTACAGCTATATTCAGAGAATGAAACGTCATTCACCTCAGTATCATTGATACTTTCAATAAAATAAGTTGGTCTGACACCCTGTTCTTGTATTAGAAAAATAGGAAATATTTTATTTAACATGTAAATTATCATTGCCTGAATTATTTTGGATAAGAACTAAAAGAACTGAAGCATTTTGGGCCATCATAACTCATCCTGCAGTTTTCTAATCCCTGCATGCAGGGACCTTCACTTGCAGCCCTAGCACCATTACCTGCAGAGAGATGCCAGGTTGTTTCGTGTCATCCATCTGAATTCTCCCATGTTCCCCTTCCAGAACTGATGGGGAGAATGATGCTCACTGTCAAAGACACTTCAATGTGCTGGGCCAAAGTTAATTACACAGGACTTAGGCTGGTTTATACCTGCTTATGACCCAGTGCATGACAATGCTTGCTGTGTTGGGAAATGAATGTGGAGTGCTACCCTACTCATGCATGATGTAACCATTAACTCAAGGGCAGTCACAGAGGAAGCTATAAAGGAGGTAAAATCAGTAGAGCATGGACAGTATTTGCTAAGTGCCAGCTGTTAATCCAGGGTAATGAGTTAATTTTTAAAGGAAGAACTTGCCATGAGAGAGTCATACATGCTCCCACAGCTCCTAGATGGATTGCACCTTGCTGGGATATGGAACCCAGTCTGGGAGCAATGGTGAGGATGGTGCCAAGCTATTTTTCTTTCTGAGCTTGTCTGTTGTCATTACCTATTTTGCTACATTTTATGACTCCTGCTTCCAGATGGCAATTTATATCTTAGCTGAATAATAATAATAAAGGTAATTTTTCTCCCTGTTTTGCAGATACATTCTATAATTGTGATAAACAATGTGTATCACCGCAAATGTATACTGTGTGCTGCTGAAAGAGCACGGGCAGCACACTAGGCTGATTTTTCCCAAGCACACTTTTACTTATGGTGGTGCAGAGAAGAGACTGAAGGAATACCAGCTGTTTTTTTCCCTCTCCTGCTACATGACTGGCTGATACACCATGTGTTCATTCATGTGGCTGGTGGAAGGGCAGCCATCCCAGGCAGACCAGGACAGTATCTGTTAGTGGGTTTCTATGGGGCAGTTCCTTTACTTTGGTTTTCTTTAGCATCTGTTTTTGAAAGTAAATTAATTTAAAAGGGTGACTCCTTTGCTTGTGAAGTATTTTGAGTCAATCTTTGGGTAGTCAGTCTATAACAGAAACTACTTTTGAACTGTGTCTTTATGTTATGGGGAGATGAATGAGCGGTTGGTGAAAGCACTCATGAAACCCTCAGGATCTGTTAGCATTCCTCATTTTCTAAAACTAGATTTCTAGCCCCACCGCTGTAACTCAAAAAGCCAAAGGGTTTGAATGTGTGTGTGCTTGTATGTATGAACTCCTCAAGCTACTGGTATCTGCATTTGTTCTCTTTGAGTCACCATTATTAAATCTACCCTGGTTGCTGCTCAAACCCTATTGATGACCATGATGATGTCCTATATTTGTTCTTTATAAAAAGAACTTGTCCAGTTTATTGCTGCAGCAATTTGATAATAATTGTTTATGTAGTGGACATCTTTAGAGCTAATTTGGTACAGGCAATGCTTTGATTAAACTGTCTAATGCTGTATGCTCTTTGGAAAAGTTATCAATACCCACATTTTCATTTTCCTTTCTCTCTTTTCCTTTTAAGTAGGTAATTATTAGACTTTGTATAATTTTATTAAAAACTAGGCTACACATCCAGTATTCAGTTACACAGTATCTTGAAGAAAATGTAGATGAGCCTGTAAACTAGAGGTTGATGGCCTAGTGGGTCCTTAGCATGCCTTCAGCCTGTGCACTAACTTCCAGGTTGAATACTTTTGTGTGATGATATTCACGTTGTCCTTTATCACATCCTGAGTAGTGCAATATAGTGCAGAAAGTGCATCCATCTCCTATGGAGACAAATTGCTTTTCATTTTCTGTGTGAATAACTGACTATTTAGGTCTTGAATTCATCTACATACATTTGATGAACCAGTTAGATACCTGTTCTTGTTAGGTACCATCTGCAGGCAACGGAGAGAGACAGGCACGTGTGCAGGGTGATTCCTCCCCCCCTCACCCACCATTCAGGATCTGAGATAAACTCGAGAGGTTCCTGCAGAGCGAGTCTATGACAACTGCATTCCTAAAGTAGGCACTGCAGCTACGTGCATGAAGTTGCCTGGGTAAACTGCACTGTGACATTCAGTCCTTATGACTTTAACCATTTATGTGTTAGGACTGTGGACCCAGGTATGTGCCTGTAATTTACTCAGTCATTAGAGGGAGAAGGTATTTCCTGGCAAGAATAAATATACTGGACAGATGTTGTACATAGATGGGAAGAGTCATGCTGTAGGGGTTTCTGTCTCTTTCTGCTAAAGAGTGTCTTGAATAACTACCTTGGAGCAGGAGCCTAACTTTTAGATGGCTGAAAAAGTCTCATTGTTAGTGTCTGTCCTGGGTTCAGCAGTAGCAGTCATGCAACTGTATGTCTGACTGGGTTTAAACCACAACAGTGTTAAAGGAAAGTATCATCCCAGCAGCTTAATAGTCATCTTTTATCTTATCCGGTAGGATAAAACAGGCAGCAGGATGCAAGCTTCCCTGTAATGTTCTGTGAGTATCATTCAAAGTTATTAAGCTCTGATTTGCCTGAAGAGTTAGAAAATAGCTCAGCCTTCATTGTCATTAACTCAGTTACTTTCAGCTGTACATCAGATTTTATGACAGAGAGCTGAAGTCATTTTACCAATTTTATGTGACGCAGCAGGTAGCCAAGATACTAACTGGGTAGGCTGAAACTGAACTTTCAACTTAGTTGTGATGGCATAATAGCAGAAAAATAAAGTAGATTTAACTGTAGATACTTTGAATCCATTAAGAGAAGGGATGGAGAACAGACCACTATTTTTTCAAGTATGGGTTTCAGGAAGATGTTAATGTTCTCACGTCATGATGATCATGATTTGATAACTACGCCTGCAATGAATTTTTAGTAGACTGTTATATTTCTAGAGTTTAAAATCCTTTAAAAGTCCTAATAATTCAATAATCATACTGCATGCAAGAGTGAACAAGTGGCTGCTATACTGCAAAAGTGCTCACAAGGCTACGAAGACCAGCTATGGACAAGTTGCTCAACATTGGCTTGTGCAGTCTTGTATGAGCTCTGCAGTGCAGAAGCAAGATCAAATATGAGTTTAACTCATTCTAGTTACTGGCTGCAGTGTGCAGAAATTCACACTTTTGGTGTGAGGACATAAATGATGCACCTAATGACATAGATGAGCCCAAACTTGATGTTTTCATCTGGGCAACTGATAAAATATGGGCTCATATTTTTAAACACAGTCAGTAACTGTGGGTGGTGCAATGTGTAAGTACCTATCTTGAGAGTCTACTAGTTAAAATTTCTGAATTAGCCTTACACTGACTGAGGAGCTTTTAATGCTTATGAACACAAATACGTAGCGCTAGAAACTGGGTGGAGTTTACAAAACTACTTTAGTTCTAATATTTCTACACTGGTTTGCAGTGAAAATGTGAGCAGCTTTTAAAAGCTTTATCTAGCAAACAATCCTACAATGTGCCTCATCTCTTGAATCATAATGTTGCCTGTTGTATCTGCAGCCATCAGGTATTGTGTGTCAACCAAACTAAAGAAAAGAATTCTAAGTCAAAGAGATCTTTTAATACTGCAGAAGTCAAAGAATACAATCCTGAAAGGGTCCTCTGGAAATAATCTGATTATCGCTTGCTTTCCAAAGTTTATAGAATTAATTATATCTACAACTTCCTTGAAAGATTTACCAACTGTCCTAGACAAAGTATTCTGTTGTTTATCTGCTCTTACTGCTACAAAGGTTTCTAATATTCAGTTTAAGTCTTTTTTAGTGTGATTGAGATTCATTAGTCCTTGCCTAACCCCTAGTGGACACGGAGAATATAAGAATATAATGTTCATCCCTTTTCATTCTTTTTCCATTTCATGCCTATAAAATATATGTTACTGTGTTTTCCTAATAATGTCCTTTAGAGAAATATCCTTTATTTCTTCAGTCCTACCTTGCTGTATTTCCTAGACTTCTATTGTTTTCTGTGTTCTGATGTATCTTCAGTGTTCTGCTCAATTGATTTCTTCTACCTCAGGACAAATTTTTGCATACGTCCCTATTGAGTTGAATCCAACCTTTTCCCTCGTCATTCCTTCCATATGATAATTATTTCTTTTGCCGCCTAGGCAGACCTGTAGGCTGTCCGTGCTGTAGGCCATGCTCAGCAAAAAATAAACACTTGCCTGAAATTACATTTAAGCCTCTGTTAGGATTCTGAGGAGGCTGTGCATGCTGAGCTGGCACGTAATTTCAGTTCACATCAACACACACATATGAATATATATGACTCTCTGAAACTTTACCTGTGATGTGTCTGTGTACATGTCACACTAACAGAGACCTATTGCTACATGCCTCTAGCAAACAAGTGACTAATCGGGCAACTGGGCATTTCCATTTGGGGGCTTTTCTACATCTTTTTTTTTACACTAGTGTATTTTCCTGATCATTTTTCTCTATTTTCTTGGTAACAAATTACTTCAGCGTGATATTTTTTTTCTCACATCTAACCACTATGAAAACATTAACAAGCAATAAGCAGCTGTTTTATGCCAAAGGAAAGCTGTAAATTAATCTTGTAATTCAAGGGAGTTGCATGTTTTGGATTCGTGGCAATTAATTCTCTGGCCCAAAGAAGGAGACAGAAACTGAGTCTAAAAAAACGTGAATCAATAGCTCTGGACAAGTTCTTATAAAATGCCCATGAGGTAAGACTCAGATTTCTTCCTCTGCTATGGGTAGGTGCTGCACACTTTACCATTAATCACGTAAACAATTCCTCCTGTGCAAAGCTGCATCAGGTATTTAAGGCAGGATCAGAGCAAGATGTACATTGCCTGACTGTAAATCTATTCCCGAGATATTCAGCAGTGTTTTATAGATAATTACATGTTATAAAACTGTTTGAAGTAGCAAATAAAAGGTGAACTACTAAACATGGCTGCAGAATGGTTGCATATCCTGTGGTAATTGGAAGTGATTGACTTCTTTGAAAATGGCTTTTGAAAATGAATGAATATTTCCCTAAACTTTTCTTAAAAAAATAGTATGATAAAATCCCAGTTTAAGAAATAGACTAGTTATTGTCTAATCCATTATTAAGTTCCTCTTTTATCTGGGAGCAGGTGAACTCAGCTGTAATAAAAGAGGAGAGAAAGAGACTCTTCTTAAGATGTTTTCATTGCTGATACAATACTTAGAGTAGAATTCCCACATTTTTAGGATTTTCCGAGCTTGCAAGATCTTTCCCTTTTTTCAGTAAATCGATAATTTCCTTTATATTGAGAGAAACATCTGTCCTGGGTGATTTACTCTGTTTGCTCAATGAAGAAGTAAGAAAATAGCAAAAACCCACCATTTAAAACAGTCCTACATAAAGCTTTTGAACTTGTTAATCTCCATCTCACTCTCACATTCTGTTGGTTTCACAATGACCTGATTACATGTTGTTTTGTTAGCAAGTTCAAACACCTGTACTTGGGGTCTGAGAGACAGAATTGGAAATAAATGATTCACACTCGCAGGCATTCCAGAAGTTCACATATCATCTTTACAGAAACAGTTTCTGGCTACAGTCAAGCATAGAAGAAACCCTGATGGTTCTCAAATGACTAGTTGAAAAGTATAAAAAAAATCCCCCAGAAATTCTATTTCTATATTGCAGAGAATTAAACTAATGAAAATTAAACGCGGTCTAGACATGAAATTCTCATGGAAAGCACCATTTCCTAAAGCTGTTCCTTTAGGAAATGGCACTAACAATACTGGGCAGTGCCATCCTGAAGTGTAGTATAATTTTTATAACGTACAAAAACATTTTAAGACTCTATAAACCCATGAACACTGACAGTCCTGCCCAGAACCACCATTTCACTCGCCATGGATCTTCCTGAGTTTATTTTGGCACTAGTCTTAATGACTCCAGGTAGTTCTTTTTATGTCTTTAATATGTAGATTGCTAGCCTGGGAAGACACTTACCTTTTCTATGCTACTTTGCAATCCAAATGACTGTTAACTCTGCTACTTTGCAATCCAAATGAGCTGCTACTTCTGCAGCTTTCAGAAGTTATTTGAATTCGTTTCACAAGCAGGTGAGGCAGTTCAGAGGCAGTCTGTAACACAGACTTTCTTTCAGGCCGCATTCCAGCTGTGTTAGGTGTGGGAGCAAGCTAGTAAGCAACCTCCTACCCTAGCCCCTGTGAAAACCCTTGGCTTTGTTTTCAATTCAAATTCAGGTAGTCGTCTTCACACAGAACATTTATAACCTACTTTAATGAGCACTTTTCTCAGCAGGCTTAGTAAATTGGACTTTTTGTAGGTAAGAGACAGTGGGATCTGTTTTTTCAAGCATTATAATAAACTGAGATACTGATTTATTTCAATAATTCATTTTTTCAAAATTACTTTAGAAGTGAATAATGTCTTTGTCAGACCGGATTTAGAATTTCTTGTATTATTGTTCTTAATATGGAAATCACAAAGAAAGTTCCCTGGCTCTGTCACTGACGGAAACAAGTAAGGAACAGCCTCTGGATTTTATGCAAGATGGACAGACTATTTCTAGGTAGATCTAGTTAGAAATGGGGACTAATCTATTTCTGATTTCTGCAGAAGTGGTGTGTGAGCTAGCAATAGGTAAATAAACAAATAGAATTGAGAGAGGCCTCTGGAGCCCTTGAACTTCTGGTAAAACAGGGCACAGATTGATCATAGCCTTTTAACTGCTTTACACTTCAGAACTTCCCTCCAGTGCACACACGGTTACAGCAAAGCTGTAATGAGTTTTTACTCTCCTTGACTTCACAAGCAGAGTTGATGGCAGGAAAAAAAAACAAGCAGACTCAGCAGAGAAGTTTTGAATGCTCAGGAGAAAGAGCTAATTTAACTGCAAGAAGGTCTCAGAAGTAAAAAATCCTTGAGATCAAAGTCCAAATCAAGTTCAATACATGCAAAGGTGAAAAGAACAAAAACCTCCCAATCAAACACACTGTAAATTACTGCTGAATGGGAGCTGTTTGATAAAACTATCCTTTTTTTTTTTCAGAAAATGCCAGTCTGTTAAAAAATAAAATAGAAAAAAAAAAGAATCATAGAATCATAGAATAGTTAGGGTTGGAAAGGACCTTAAGATCTTCTAGTTCCAAGAAACCAGAGGACCAACAGAAACCAGCAGGGAATACAGGGTTCTCCAACTCATGTGAGTTCTATTGACATTGACTGTGAAATAGAAAAACAGTATTTTGCATAGTAGGAAACATGTACTTGCAGCAGAAGAGGCACTGCTGCAGTCTAGAGCCTGCTGGGTTCAGGTAACAGCCAGCTGAAGGTGATTTTGGCTGCAGAATGCTGCTTGTGTCTGTGTTACCTGTTTCTCCTGCACATGCAGAGAGCTTACAGCTGAGAGTTGGGAGGGCAAGAGGGGACTGCAGCACCTTCAGTCACCCCAGCCAGAGCTCATTTCCAGGCCCTCTCCTTCCTTCTCTCTTGTCTGCCTCCTTTTACATAACCTGTTGCAAAGCAATAGCCAGGAAACCAAGCCTTGTCTCTTGTGAGCCTGGCATTTGTCTTTGCTTGGGGCAGTGTTATGTCACTGAGTTTGGGGTGAAGGTCAAGGTTATATACCAAAGCTGGTTTATTCCTGGACAGTATCGTATGTCATATTTTCATTGTTCTCTCATGGACTATGGTTAATACAAACATTAGTATGTTAGGAAAATATGGGTGGAGAACATTAACATGGATTTTGCATGTCTACTACATCAATGAAATCCAGGTGGATTACATTGCCATAACAGAAAAGAAAGGTTCTGGTCCACAAGACACATTCTGCGCACAAAAGTGAAGGCTGGCTGAGAACAAGAAGCAGGATTTCCTATGATCCAGTGGTCCTGGTATCCTAAATGGCACAAATTTCGGAGTACGGGGAAGACTGGTAAGTGCTCCTTGTACTATCCAGCGTTTACAATGGCAAGGATGTAGGGTGGTGCAGTTCCTTTTCTATGCTGTTGTGGTGACAATGTGTGCTTCTCTCTCTTCTCCCCACATGTAATTTGAACCTATGTGGAAAGGAACCTTTTCTAGACATCCACATCAGCGCACATGAATAGGGCAGTGGGCTTACTCTTGCTAAAGGTGCAATCCCAAATATCATTGTATTAGTGAATGTGGGCTCATTGGTATAGATCCGCACAGATGCACCAGAGCTATGTTCACTGCATGGATTTTCACAGTTGAGAATATGGGACTATATAAGCTTCAGAAGCATCCTGTGCTACCGCTGTTGGTTTAAGCTGGAACTTAGTTTTACAAACCTTTTTGCACTTGGGCTGGGTGAGGGAGGGTGTCTCTTTACTCCTTGATTGAAACTGCTGCTTTCAATATGAACACAGGACACACAGAAATGCATCTTTCTTAACACAAAACCATTTCACTCAGATTGCTTTTAGCTTTCCTATTTGAAGATATAACTTGAAAGTGCCTTGGCGTAGATTGACATAAAAAGGAGAAATGAAAGGCAATCAGGTAAATAAGAAAATTCTTATTTACTAATTTTTACAGGGCCTATTGTCATGGCAGCTCAGCAAGGGATTAGAAAGATTTAAATGTAAATTAGATCTGTCATTCTCAAAACTGAGTTTGTTATTCAGAATTGTAGGGGAAAAAAATAAAGGCAAAAGAGCCTTCTGTGTTGCCTTTAAAAGCCTAGATCTGAATCCTGGAAGGCACTGAGTACAAGCCATTTGGCAGGAGGCCTCCCAGGGGAGAACTATGCTGCCCATCGCCAGTTTCCTTTAGCTGGCACAGAGGAGCACAAGTCAGAGGTAGCCTTGCATATGCAACTGTGCCAGGGCAGGAAAAATAACAATAATAATTAAAAAAAAAAAAAAGATTTACAGATTCTCTAGCACTAAAGTGGCTCCTTCAAACAAAAGAGAACAGAGGTGTTAGTTGCTTATGAAGGTTCACCTCTGGGGGTAGCTGAACCTTCTACCAAATGGGGGATCTTGGTCAAGTTAAGCCATGGTTCTCCAAAAAGCAGTTTGAATCTTTAGGCTGGAGTTGACAAATATATAGAAAATCTTGGCTAAAGAGGTGGTAAATTGTAATAGAGTCATATCAAAATGGTGAAAGCAAATCTCAGGTGCGCACAGGGCATGCCAAACATACGTGGTGCTGTCAAAACTACTGGTGTGACTTCAGCTCTCACAGCTTAACTGCAAGGGGTGTAACGCTGCCTGGGTCTGGCTGAGGGCAATGCACAGCAACATCAAGAATCCTGGGAGTGAGTTAGGGAAGTCAGCCCCGTATTGTGAAGGGGTGAAGGAAAAGAGCATCCTGAGCGATGTGAATTGGAAGGCAGGCTCTGTCCCATGGGCATGGTGGATGAGCATACTATGGAGTAGGTCCCTCTGCCTTGGGGATGTGGAGGTTAAGATGGGCACTTTGGAGAAATGAGGTTGGAGGTGGGGATATACCAAACTGTACTGGGGCAGAGAAAAAGAACAGGACCTCTGTGGAGGGTGGGCTTAGAAGAAGGGGATATGGGGTGTGCAGAGAAGGATCTGACAGGCGTGACTGAGGTTCACAGGATAGCTGCAGAGAAACAGGTTACAGCTGCCTTAATACCTTGTTTTGCTGAGAGATGAAGAAGTGTAGGGAGGCAGGATTCATCTCAGTGGAACCAGACTGGCAGGAGAGCAGGTGATGTGAGGGGAGAGGGGAAGGGAGATACCACATCTTCAGCTGAGCCCCCTGCCTCCTTTCACTCCATTCCCTTAGCCTTACACAAATCACAGTGTTGAGTTTTGCTACTGATTAATAATGGGATCAATTCCTCAATGCTTTGTTTTTGGGGCAGCAGAGTTCAATTTTGCCTACACTGCTTAGAACCTTTGGACCATCTCTGCCTTTGCACATTACCACTAGTTTTTTTTATTATTATTATTTGTAGCATTCAATGGTATCAACGGGGTGGTATTTTCATCTTTTTATCAGCTTCTCTTCCCATCTGGGATGACACCGCCTCTCTTTTCAGCTGCCAGCTGTGGCTTCTGTAATTTTTCACCTCCTGCTGCCCAGGAGCACCTTCCAATTTGTATTATATCAAATGGAAATGAGGAGCCACCCAACAGCCATACTATAATGATTTAGAGGAGCACAGTAACATTTAGCACCAGGTTATTGGGTTGAATCCAGCTCATTCAGTAGCAACTAAATATTGTCAGTGCCTGCTGATGGGCTGGCAGCTGTGGGGCGTGATACTGGTGGCTTTTCTCCAGTTGCTAATGGACAGATATCCACATCATAAAAATGCAAATAAAACTAACGCCTTTGGTGGCAGGCTTAGCAGGGGCACTGAGGCTGTTCTTAACGCTGAGCAATGCCCACAGAGAAGACTGAGAGGACTGGGTGAACAATCTGCAGATCACCCACCTGCTGGGGGTGTTCCGGGGATGGGAGCCTTCTGTATCAGTGACTGCAAGTCTTGTTTTGGAAGAAATAGTTTGATGATAGAAGCCAGAGGAGATGTTGCTGGAATGAACTGAACTGAAAGTCTTGAGACTGAAACCAATTCCAAAGACAAAACTGGTTTTATATTGAGGAAGAAAAGGGACATTTTTTAAGTTGCTATATTACAATTATAACAGAGGGGCCACAGCTCAAATCGGCTCTAACCTGTGGTACTGCCTGCCATCCCACTGCTCTGGGAACCCCTCAACACAAACTACAACATGAGCATAGTCAGAGCTAGGAGTTTAACAACAAACAGCGGATGGTTGTTTAATTATCTTTATCTGGGTGTTAACAAACTCATCAACACCTGCAAGGGATGCTCTGGTGGTCCTGCCCGAATCTCTGCGGGAGCAGGAAGCTGGCCCAGTGTGTCTCAGTTCAGTGATCTCCAGGCACAGCAGCCTTGCCACTTGCTTACTAGTGAAGGATCTCCTCCTACGATCGCGTTTCCCGCCCAGCGTGGATGCACTGCCTGGGGGTACTCAATGCTCCGGCCATGCAGGATACAGTTTTGCTTACTCCTTACCCCATTTCTGCATAGCCATTACTCAAAGCACTGCTGCATCAAAAAGCAAAATTAAGTCAAGCTATAAAACATTTCTTACTTTAGGAAAAAAGAACTCATTCAAAGCTTTTTTCAGTGGACTATAAAACACAGTGTAAAACCTCTGACAGGTAATGTGTTGTTATACTACTTACTGCAATCAGCTGTGACAGGAGACACCTTTAATCAACTACCCTATAATTATGCTAAGGCTTTCACCAGATACAAATCCCAATTGGCTGGGCCAGAGCCCTGCCTTTCCAGACAGGAATAATTATTTTGTCCACTCACTCGATTATTCACTCCAGCAAGTCCTGACCTGTAGAACCATGTGGGTGAGTATTTATTGCTTATTTTTATATTGCTTACATTTTTACTGTTTGGAAATGTAAATCTCAGCCAGGGAAGGTAAATTTCAGTAGGACTTACCAGGAAGATTGTCAGGAATTGTGAGGTGTAACAATCACTATTCTGAACCATGTATGATGCTACCACCCCATTATCTTTCAGCCTGTTTTAACTTTTTTTCATAGCAAACGATACACGGAACCATTGCACACACAACAGATTACCTATAAGCTGCAGATATGTAGCTCTTGGAGGTATTGAGTAAAATCTGTGTCTCCATACCAACAAAAGTGCTTAAACCAACCTAAAAACTTGAAACAGGTCTTAATTCAAATAAGATTGTTAGTCTACAGCGGGTGGGAATGGCGTTCACTTAGAAGTAAAAGTAGGGATTTTTTGGGTTTTAGGAGTCTATTGGTATAAAATTCTGCCTGGGGAAGTTTAATAAGAAGTTATTTGTCTCTAGTGAATGCTTCTAGTCAGGGGTGAAAGAAAATACACCTGATTGTTTTCAGCTTTCAACAACTCAGGGAAATGATATGTTGCAGTGTAATAGTTATTTTCTATGTGGAGCCGCAGGTGGCTAAGGCAATCCACAAAATATCTGAGGTAAGAGTCAGAGTTGCTCATAAGCAATGGAGCGCACACTGGGCACAGCTTGCACAGCTGCAGGTTGGCATGGGTCTCTGCTGAAGCCAAGGAGAAATCTGAGAGAGGGTAAGCGCCAGGCCTGAATGGCACACATTGTCCCAGCTCCCCTGGCAAGTGGTCTACAGTCACTCTCTCAACACCATAGATGTTGAGATCTCTTACCCTCTAGACTTCATTGTGGCTCTCGACCTTGCTGTTTAGTCAAAATGTATAAAGGTTTGTAGGTTACTTCAGGTAGAAGAAGACCCGGTGAGGAGGTCAGGTATCGCTGCTGTTCATAAGGACTGCACCAGCTTGGCCTCCCTAGCAGTGGTAGGTCCAAAGAAAAAGAAATTGGTGTTGGCTCAGAGCCACAAGCCTCTGCGTTCAGCTCCCTCCCTGTAAATCCTTTTCCTTAGGCTTCCTCCAAGGGTTATGTTAATGTGCTTGCTCTGGCAGGTCCAGCTGAGCTCCTTTCTTCTTTTCAATTGAAACTGTTAATTCTCTGCATAACTGTCTCCGAAAACAGTGCTAGATAATGCTAATGCCTCCTTTATAAATCACCAGTGTTCTGCATAGCTTTGTACTCACCTTTGCTTTGAGCCTTTGACATCTGCTTACCCATCTCTCTCGCTTATCTCCAGGGATGGGTGGTAATTACACTGGCTCCTCGGTATTAGTAGGCTTATCAAAATAACAAAAGGCAATGAGGATTGTGAAGAAACAGCAGGTGAAAAGGGACACAGTAGGAAAGAGAAATTATCTTTGAGAGAAGGTGCATTTCTTTACTGCGGTTTCATATTTTCCTCGGATTGTAGTTATTTATATATAGGTGTGTGGAAGAAAGGAATATGGAATGAATTACAGTCCCAGGAGAGGAAGTTTAAAAAGAGAGA